GGGACGCTGCCGAGGTGGGCCGGGGCCTGAGGCGGGGGCCGGGGGCCCGGGTCTCCTCCCGGGGCGGGCTGCTGGCGTCAGGCCTGGCGCTCCGCGGGTCTCGTCCTCCCCTCCCGGAGCCGCCGTGCTGCTGAGGGGCCCAGGGCTCCAAATGTAGTTTGTAACGTGGCCTTTTCTTTATTTTTTTTGTCTTTAAGAGGTGAGCGAGGCCCTGGCAGAGGCGCCGCAGGCAATGCGCGCAAGCTTCGGAGCAGCGGGTTTGGCCTGGTAGGTGCGGGACCGGGAGGAAGGAGCAGGGCAGAGCCGTGCCCACCGGCAGGGACCCCGGGTTCCTTCAGCGCCCCGCGCCCGTCTGCAGCCTCGCTCCGTCTCTTCCCCCACCTCGCAGGCTCCCAGGTAAGGTGAGCTGACCCGGCCTCCCAGCAGGCATTGAGGTGTCAGATCCCATTGCTCCGCGTATGACAGCTTGCAGCCGAAGGCAGAGCTGTTGTCTCTCCTTCCCCGCTAAAAGGCAACCCCTCCCTGCCCGGGAGAGCTGCCTGCCAGGGCAGGACCCAGGGCGAAGTGATTTAATCGTAGGAGTGTACAGCAATAAGTATCCCCGCGGGGGATGTACCAGGAGGGCTGGCAGCTTTGCTGGAAAAAAGAATTAGAGGTTGTTTCTGTCAGGCTGCGCAGCCTGAAAAGGCTTTGCTTGAGAGCGATGAAGGAACTGCAAAGAGGAGACTGCAGTAAGGTTACGGGAAGGGGGTCTGGAGTCGGGGTTTTGGTGTTAAACGTGGGGCGAGCAGAAAATTGCCTTTACTTCTGGCAGAATGAAGTAGCAGCGAAGCTGGCAGTGTCTGGGATGTCTTTATTAGGTCCTTAATTTAATTGAAATCCCTTGCTGGGAAGGGCTGGAAGGGGAATCTGATTCCTGACAGCTGAGATCTAATATAGCTGTCTGCCTCAGCGGAGCAGCCTGGGGGGGCAGGAGCCTCTCTCAGCAGGGGACAGCCAAGCTGCCTTCCTTTTGTTTGTAATTAATAGGTAAGCTAGGCCGGCTCGGGCTGTTCAACCTTTAACTGCTGGCAACCGCGGGTCTGCGTCCGAGACGCCCGCGTCGCGGGGGGCTGTCGCCCGGGTCGCTGCACTTTGCTCCCCTGGTTCTGGCACAGCCCTCTCCCGGCAGCAGCTCCGTCCCGGCCTTTGCAGCCCTCCTCTTTTTCTCCGCATTCCCTTCATAAAGGCTCCCTTCGCTCAGGCCGCGGCACTCTGGTGTTTGGGTACGTCTTCCAAAGCTGATAGAAACGTCAGGTTAAATATGCGTAGCCGAGAGGCCAGCGGGGTGTGAGCCCTGGTTGAGATTTGCAGGTTATTTCTCAGGCTGCCTTGAAAAACAATTTATGTTCTCTTTCTCTCTCTTTTTGAAGTGTAAGGCCTTGTTGTGCTACTGAAATTTTCCTGTTTCTTACGGATCAGAAACCTTTGCTTTAGCCAGATGCTTCTGGCAATGAGAAAGGATGGGTGAGCGTAAGCAACTGATTGTTTGGAAATGCTTGATGAAAAACAATAATTTCTTCAGATGCCAAATGAGCTTGACAAGCAGGCTGGGCATGATGTCACGGAGTGACGAAACACGTCTGTTCGCAGCACCAGCAGTTAGCGCGTCAGAGCAGCTTCCTCAATGCTGGCAGGCTGGTGTCGCCGTGTTCCTGCAAGGTTTTGGCTAAAAACCACAGATTTGTGTGGTTTCTCCTTCCATGTATGTTTTCGTTGCTGGAATTATTTGGTTACTAATTTTTCCTGCTCGGTATTTTTCTTTGCTCAAAATGGGAATTGTGGCTTTTTAACAAAGAGCTTAAAAAAACTGGTATTGGTTACTTCAAATGCTTCTTGTGTCAGCAGCGAGACAGAGGGCCGAAGGGCCAGCGGGAAGTCTCCCGGACAGACCAGCCCCTCCTGAGGCCCACTCTTCCTTCCTCCTCCTCTCACAGCATCTCTTGTCTTTTCTCTTGAGAGACTTCTGGTAATTCCTCACATCACAATAATTTGAGTTTTCTGCCTTTCCCACCAGCCCCCATGGCTCTGTTCCTCCTGTTCACCCTGTCACTTCTGCGTGTGCTCCTATTTTTCATCCACCGCGTGGTGGGCTCTTGGACAGGATGAGCCACGCGGTCGATATTCACATGTAACGCCTGCACGGGATTTTGTCTTGCTTGGGCAGAGGGGACGACTCGGTTACTGAACACCTCTCCCTTCTCAAAGTCCGCTTGCGTTTACGCGCGGGGTAGTTTAAGGTCGTCTTCCTCCTGCCCTTTCTTTTTTGAATTTCAAGGGAAATTTTGTCTTGAAATCTCTCGGCTGCTGCATTTCACCGCTGCCCAGGTGAGCTGCGCCTGGTCTGGACAGCGTAAAGGTGAGGAAAACGGGAGGGCATGGGGAAAGAGCCAGCTGTTCACATAACTCTTCCCAGCCAGGAGAGCGCTGCTAGCTCTGATTAAACAAACGCAGAGGCAAAATGTAAATCCTGTCTAATGATATAGGTTTGTTTTGTTTTCAGCTCCCCTTAGATTTAGTATCTCTTGGAAAGATTTAATTTAAGGCTTCTCTGTGAGCTGTTAGTGGTGTCTGCTTCCAGCAAGAACAGCGGAGGAGCAAGAGGTATCATTGATTCGATTAAATATCCGGGTCACTTACCATTGCCTGTGTTTTTTCTCTGGTGAGTTTTGATATTGGAAGAGGATGAGATAAAAGGAACGTGTGCAGAAAGAGATAACTGCGGCTGGAGCTGCCCCAGGCAGAGGCCGCTTTCTAAATGGATTTGTAGATGAGCTTTTCCTGTCAGTTTTGGGTCCTGTGTGAGGAGATATCAGGCGTGTGCAAACAAGCTTGCTTCTTTTGTCCCCCCTCCTCTGTTGGGTTAGTGGATATCCTTGATATCCAGAAGTCAAACTGGACAGTCTTCCCTCCTGTGTGTCTTTCTCAAAGAGCAGTCTTAAGCTTTGTGGGTTGTAATGCTTGGTTCGGGAAGTTAAATCATATCTTTAAGCTTTGCAAAGCCAATGAACATCATAGTCGACTCCTGGTTTTCTACAGCTGCAGATTTTCTTCACTTAGTTAAGTTTGCATATCAAATTTGGCTAATTCTTTTTCCTATACTAAATTCCCAAAGCTGGGCTGGGGGTAAGTTGGAAAGCATTCTCCCAGAAGTCGGCATTGGCGTTTCTACAACCACTGGTATTCCGGCTGGCTGGAGACCACCAACGGGAGAAGCGCGTGTCCTCGTGTGTCTTCAGGTGCCCGGTAACTGGCTCAGGCTGTGTGAGTTCTCCGGTGCCCCAGTTTCTCTTGTCTGTGGTGAGAATGCTGGAGTCTTTCAGGATGTTGCAGCTCAGTCAGCATCTATAAAGAGCTTTGCGGGCTCGGCAGCAGTGTTTGAAGTGCAAGGTCGGTTGTGTTACAGAGATCGTGCTTGCTGCAGGTGTCAGGCAGCAGGTAAGGAGCTCCCCGTGCCTCCGCTCCTGCCGTGCGGAGCCAAACATCAGCTTCTGATCTGGAACCAGCTGCTTTGCGGGACACCCTGATTGTCTGCAGCCTGCTGAGGACCGAGCATTGCATTTTAGCAGCTGCAGAAGTCAGAAACTTCTGAGTTGAAATCTTTCTGCAGCGCTGAAGCTGTCAGTGACTTGTACGGAGGCTGTGGCCAAGAACCTTGCAAAACCCGGTGGCTGAAAAGTGTGCGTCTTCATCTCAAACCACGGTCTCTTTGTGAAAATGCTTCCACTTTTGTTTTTTCCCTAGAGCTGGCTGTCTGTACGTTATTATTTTCCTACTTAGCAAGTTGTTGTCTGGGAATACGGCACCTCTGTTGATTTTATTGTTATTACCAACTTTTGAGATCTCTGCGCGGAGTCAGCTGTGAGGTGGAGAAGCAGGTTGGACAGCCGAAGCACCAGCGCCTGTACTTTTCAGATAAGAAGATGAAGGAAAATCTAGGATAAAAAATGCTTTCTGAGTCTGTGTCTTATCCAGTGATACCGTGTTTCTATGCGCTTCAGACCAAAGCGCTGTTAAAATCCTGCTGGGTTTAGACCTGACCTCCAGAATTTAATAAACATGACAGGGTGTTTAGACTGTGTCTCCATATCTTAAAACTTGTCAGGTTTTTCCCCTGGCTCTTTGTGTTGAAGAGTTGTTACAAATCTTCCTCTGAGAAATCACCTAATCTCTAGCCCAAGGTTAACCACGGTTGGTTTCTCTTCCGTGCCAGCTGTGTCCTTCAGAAGAAATAGAGATTTTCTTCCTCGTTGTTTTGTATATTTTTTCTAGAACTGACCTGATTACTGGATTCCTCTAGTTCTTGCTTCTCGCACCAAGCTCACTTTTCTCTGCTTCCCTGGTCGCCGTAGTTCTGTCCAGGAATGGTGAATCCAAACTGGGAAGGCCGGAGAGGGGACAAGACCTGTAGCAGATGAGTTTTTGCCAGTGTTTTGCACAAGAGCATTGAATGCACAGCTCTCTCTTCTGGAATTGCTTTGCCTGATAAGTCCTAGGATCTCGTTGGTTTCTGCTCAGGGTTGGTTTCTGCTGTGGTTTATGGTGGTCACAAAATAAGCAAGACACTCTTGTCTCTCCTCCTTCTGTTTCCAGCTGATGTGCTTGGATTGGTTCGGCTTGTTTGTTTAAAAAATTCATTGACCCCCTAATGGTTAATTCCCTGTTGCTTCCATCGCGTGCAGTTTTTCAGGGCAGCCGGGTTTTGGCGTGCAGCTTCGTGGTCTTCCTCCGGGGTACTGGTGATGTCTGCGCAAGTAGCTGCTGCGGCTGGCCTAAACGAGGGTAAAAGCACCCAATTTCATGGAGGTCGCTGCGTAGTCTGTGTGTTGTTACCAATGAGCGTGGATCCTGGGCACTGGGAAAAGGTTGGCAGTGTGCCTGACTGCCTTGTCACTGGGAGGATGCAAAAGTGCCGCTGGTACTTGGACTTGGCAGTGAAGGCGTTTAACACGAGTCTCTCCAAACTCTGTGTTTAGTTATCTTTCATGTCCAAATGGTACCTGGGAGGTAGGCGACTCTCCCCTCCAGCCAGGCTGCCAGTCATCGTGCCCCCTTCTTTTCTTCCTCCTCCATGGACTAGTTCTCACTCACCTCCTCTGTCAGTAAATTACAGTTGTGGAGGATGATACCAGCTTTCCCAGAAATGCTTACAGTGCCTGGCACGAGAGCACGGAGATGGCGACCGGGACGCGATGCAGGAGCACAGCAGTCACCTTGTTCTTTCCCCCCCTCTCCCGGCTGCTCAGGATGTGGGGCAGGAGGCTGGCCTCTCTGCTCCAGGTGCCGTGCCAGCTGAGTGGAAGCAGTAGACATCGCTCGCCATGGCTGCCCCGTGACAGGAGGACCGTCCTCGCTGCGGCGGCTCGCTGGCATCACACGGCCCCGGAGTCCCTGAAGTGCGCCTGGCAGCTACACGGTGACCATCTAGGTAGGTGTTGGGTGCGTGCGTACCCGCTTTGCGGTCTGTTTCGGGAGAGGAGTGGGAGTTTCCTGACCTTTTTCCCCAGGAGTGACTTTTTTCTTTTTTTTCTTCTGAAATGCTCCGCGTTAGAGGGATGCGCACTGGCGTCTGTGTTTCATGTTCCCTTTGGGAATTCCCAAAGGCAGGATGGAGCAGGTTTGTCTGCTGGTGGCAAGATTTTTATGATAAATGAGGCGATGCTAAATCAGAAATCAAATCAAGGGATTCCTGAGCAGTAACTGCAGCCGAGCCTTGCCCTGTCAGTCACCTATTTTCGGTGTAATGCTCGGGGCAGGGGGGGTGGCTGGTTTGGTGGGTGCCCTGCTCTCGTGCCCCCACTCCGTAAAACGCTGATCTGTGAAAGGCAGTTGTTAGAGCAGGCTTGCCAGCAGCCTGTCTGCTTCTGTGGCTGGGTGGAAGGAGCAGCAGGAAGGGCATGAAAGCCTTTTTGATGCAAATCGTACTTCACTGTGAGGCTGCTTAAAGAAAAGATAAGGAGAGTGTGGCTTAGTGTGAAGTAACAGCTATAAATGCTGTCTAATGCTGATTTTTTTTTTTTTTTTGGCCCTTTTGGTTTTGGCGGTGACTTGGCAGCTGAGGCACACGTTTCCCCGTGGTCTGTTTGGTTTGGCCCAGTGGCTCTCTGCCTGGGCGATGCCTAACGAGGCTAGTTAGGTGTTGGTACTCTGAGTCCCTTTAAGCAAAGGGAATTGCTCGGTACTTTACCCAACACAGTGGCCCCAAGAAAGGATATTGGTGTTTTCCCACTGCAGAGTGATCTCGGATACTTGGATTTCAAAGCTGAGTAGGACTAGAGCAGGAAGGGCTCTCCCGTTGTCTCTGCTGGCTCTGACCCCCTTCCGAAGGGCTTCGAGTATTCCTCAGCTGTCCCAGGATGGAACAAGGAGGAGAGGCTTTATTGTAATGCTAAATGGATATCAAAGCTTTGCGTCAAGGTCTTGATGTTGTCCGTAATGTTTCCATAGTTTGGATGTCGATGTGATGATTTGTTTGACTCTTACCTCTGTTCCTGTGCTGGGGTCTGCAGCTGCGCGGAGGGGGGGGACATCATGTGCAACAGCTGCTGCGCTGCTCTGAATTTACTACTCGGTGAGGAGAGATGCTGGATGTAAGCATGTGGCCAGCATGTTTGTTAGCCGTGCTCCCTCCTCCTGCTGCGGGATGAGGTTGCCTGCAGACTTGGTAAGAAGGGAGCCCATGGCGAGACCGCCGACAGCCAGGCCTTCTGTGAGGATATTCTGCCTGGTCTTCATCGTGTGACAAGCTAGCTTAATTTATGGAAAGAGGGGCAAAGTTTAACAGCCTCTGCATCCCCTGTGAGTGGGATCATAACTTGTGGGCTCTCGGCTTCAGTTCTTGGCTTTGTTTTTTCTCGCTGTTCACACCAATGCATCTTTTGAGCCTGTCCTTCTTTGCAGAGCTCAGGTACGCAAACACGCTGATGCGATTCGATTTTGTCTGGCTGCGGGACCACTGCCGCTCGGCTTCCTGCTACAACACCAAGACGAACCAGCGCAGCTTGGACACGGCTAGCGTGGACCTGGGAATCAAACCCAAGGCTGTCCGAGTGGATGAGACCAC